ATATACTCGTCTGTTAGCTGAACAATAGACACTATTGTGTACTGTGCACAAGCAAGAAAAAAAACAATTCCTTACATTGACAACTGACCTAAATATAGTATTGTTTGAAATATTTATTCAAATGATATGTTAATAAATATATACTAAATGGTGACGTATCCTCTAATTTGCAATCACTGATGCTGCCGTACATAAATCAGACAATTCACAGTTTCTTAATTTTACCTTTCTGATGCAGCAATCAGAATTATACAAGTAATGTATGCTGTTTTAATTTAAAAAGTATAATTGTAATATTATTATTTGACTTAAAAAATATATGGTTTCTGTACCTTATATAGATGCTCCCTGTCTGTGAGAACACAAAATGTGGTTAAAATGTATGAGGAAGTTTACACCATAGGTGAAAAACCTTAGAAGTGATGTCACAAGGAAGGTGACCTTTTGAGGCATATTTGCTATGTACTCGAACAAGAAAAACTTGTCAAGAAGTAGGCCTACTTATTAAGTTTAAACCCACTTTGTGTACTCACTATTCCAATAATGTGAGACTATATTATCTCTGAAATATGTCATACATTATTCATGTTGTCAAAGATGATTATATTCTGACATTGAAGGTGAATTCATTTCTGCCACCACTGAACTGAACTCCTCCCATCTGCCATTGGTTATAAAAACAGAAAGCCCCGCCCTGAAATCAATCCATTGGTTGAGCCAAAGTTGATGTGTGGAGCTAATCGGGAATCTCAAACAGTTTTGATAGAGCTATAGAGTTTCACTTTTTGAGGAAATAAACATTAATGAATATTGAACTGGGATTAAAAAAAAAGTCTTGAAGATATTACACACTTTTCAAATTTCTCCTTATAAAAGTACAAGCAGTTGTGTTCTTTAACACTATTACACTGGACTGGATCAAATAAAAAAGTTAGCTGACATCCAAAGTGTGTATCACTTTTTTTTTATTTCCTCACAATTTACATTCATATGCATCTGTATATTGCGAGAAAAGCTGTATAGGAGCTGTTTACACAGAACGAGTTTTTGCCTTTGAAAATTCGAGACGCATAGCAGATGGAAAAATAAGCAATGCAACAGTCAGAGACGCTTGTCTAACATGTTCAAAACACAGCACAGCATTCGCATTTGCACTTTTCGCATTATTTGTGGAGTGTTCTCTACTTTCCGCAAGTTTTCATACATGATTGCGCACTCTTCAGAAACCTGTCAGAACACTGTTTACGTGTGTAAAGACAAATTGTAAAGTCATTGCAAAGTATCAGCTAAATGACAGCATGACATGCGTCTTATAATCAAGATGTCAGTCTATAATCAGTTTCACACATCTATGAACAGAAGTGTCAGTTTCATTTGCATTATTTATGCAAGGGTTAAAACCAGACAAAAGTTTATCTACATTCCAGAAGTCGGCTTCAAAGAAACTTGGCAGTAACCTTACACTTGCTTAGTGTAAAAACCCCTGCCCTAATGTTTAAAATGTACTGTATCAATTGTAGCGAATCAGCTCATGGGGAAATATGAATAATTAACCATAACTAGTTATAATTAACAAGACATCCCTGGCTTGTGTCAGTTCCCACGCACCCCTCACATCAAATGACTTGTGGCTGAATAATTGTTGCTCAGTGGCACTGTGACGGGAAGTTGCCCATGATGTGTCGGGAAAGTCGGGTAGGGCTGTAGAAAGACAGGAGGCAGGTGCAGGTGGTTTGGCACAGGCCTCAGTTCAGGCATTCCTACTCGTACCCCATTCATAGAATTTGTACCAGTCATTACAAGGGCTAACAGGGTCATGGCTAAAGCCTATAATTGGTGCTACTTGCTCCATAAGTGTTTCAGAACTATTTGGAATTCGTCCCAGCACATGCAAACTAACTGTAGATGAAGACACTGTCAAATCTTGATTTAAACATCCAAGTATTAGGTGTTGCGACACATGCAAAGCTTTTATAAGTCTTCCATGTGAGAGGGTGATATAAATAGAAGCTTTCTTTGGCTCCAAGTGCTGCTTCCTTTCTCTTTTTGGGCACAATGTACTCAGACTACAGCAGGCCCAGTACAGCTCCTTCAGTCCTTCAGACAGATTTACGGACCCTAGTCAAACAACTCGAATACTTCCCAGGGCACAGGAACAACAGATGAACCGTCACCCCTCTCCCACCCGTGGCATCTTAACCATATAGTATAAAGCTCAAAGTTTGGGACTTAGGCTAGTCATTTGTCAGTGGAGAATATGTCTGGAAAGACAAGACAAGAAAAGAAAACCAAACCAATCAAAAGTGGTACTAGTATAGAGTTGAGCGGAGTCAATGATGATGGTGTCCTTTAGTAGCACATTTTCAGATAGTAATGCTTGAAGGTTTGAACCGTTTTGTGTTCACCAAGTTGCTATTTTTTTTCCCAAAGCAATGAATACTTCTATTCGGGAAGTATGCATTAAATTGATCAAAATTGGCAGTGAACACTTTTACATTGTTACAAAAGATTTCTATTTCAACCAAATGCGGTTCATTTGAACTTTCTATTCATAAAAGAATTTAAAAAAATTATTTTGGTTTCCACAAAAATATCAAGCAGCACAACCATTTTCAACATTGACAATATTAAGAAATATTTATTCAGCAAATTAGCATATTTTTTTTCTGAAGGTTCACTGAAGGTGACACTAAAGACCTTTTTGCTGCCTTTACAGGAATAAATTACATTCCAAAACATATCACAATAGAAAACAGTTATTTTAAACTGTAATATTTCAAAATATTACTGTTTTACTGTATTTTTGATCAAATAAATGCAGCCCTGGTGAGCATAGAGAGACCCCAGACTTTTGGATGTTTGTATACTGTATATATTTTCGTATGTAAAACCCATTTATATGGTTTAATTAAATATTAAGTATATTGAATAGATAATTAAATAATTTGCTTTTGAATTGTCATTGTATTGAAGTCATGAAATGAATTTTTCCCACAAAACTATGTATATTTTTTCATACTGTTAAAAAGAAGAAAGCAGAATAAAAACATAGTTTTTATAAAAATTTAATATATTTAATTATTATCTTAAGCACAATATCAATATCAGCCCTGAAAATCATTTTGTAAAATCTTTATTAGGAAAATTCCTTACATAAATTAAGGCAGCTGTACAATTTTATGAAATTGTATTTGCAGTGTGGAAATGTTCTATAAAGAGCTCACTTTTTTCAACCATGATTTCTTTATCTCTTTTACTTACAGATGTCAGAGATGGAGGAAAGGTAAGTAGTGTTGCAGTTTTGGGAATTTGGTTTCTGGTCCATGACAAAAATGTATGGTATGGACAGAAATTTAAAGTATGTAACACTCCAAAATTTCTGGAACATTTTACCCTGCATTGCTTCTTTTTTTTTTCATTTAAGTGGTGTACCTGTTTTGACAAATGCATGTTTTCATTTGTGAGAGGGGAAAATAGTTCAGTAAACTCCGCCAAGCATTTAATCAAGCATGCGATCTGAAGTTTATGCACAACAGTCCTTCCTGCTTGTGCAACATTAGCATTTATCTTCACATATTCTTCCTTGTTTCTAGGATAATGGAGACTCTGAAAAAGACAGATCCAGAGTTAATACAGAAGGATGAGTTTAAGAATGAACAGCTGCTTGGCTTAACCATCAACCTGCTGCTGTTCATACACTCTCAGGTTCCTGTCACCAAGAAACTCTTTCAAAGCTGTGAGGATCTTCATGTTTACATGAAAATTACTCTAGCACTTTTAGTATGTATGGCTAAAGCAAGTTCAATGTTTCCTAACAGATGCTAAACCAGTATTTTTCTCATATCTCTCACAAGAAATTTGTTTCTAAACATAGTTTCTAATTTCACAATGGCTTTGGTACTTTCCATTTTTCAGACGACCAAGAAGTTGTTGAAGTATTATTTCCCCTGAGGGCGTCACTTACACCGATACCTGGCAGGACGTTTCTGAAAATCCCTCGATTTGACACCACCCTGAATGTTTCACAGATGTTTGCAACTACTGGGAGGTACAGGTAGCTGGTAAGACATACTGGGAACTAGGGCTCACATACCCCAGGAAGTGCCGAGAGGAGGACTGCTGCTTGGGCCGGTGCCCAACATCCTGGTGCATTGAGTATTTCAATGGCGACTACACGGCCTGGCACAATGGTGTTCCCCAAAAGCTCACCCATGTAAGTGGGAGAACTTTTGAGCGCATTGGCATCTTCTCCAGCTCAGAGGGAGGTTTGTTTTGTTTTGTGGGGGCCAACAACATGACGCACCTGTACAGTTTTTGTGCAGGAACCTTTACAGACTCACTCTACCAGACTGTCTGTGCTGGTCATGACAACCAGGAGACCAACAGGAGACCACTGCTGATTTGTGATGCCTCGAAATTCATTTATTCAGTAAGGACTCTTTCATTTGATCAAAAGTGCATTCATTTGATCAAAACTGACAGTAAATATATTCATAATGTTACACAAGATTACCATTTCAAAAGTCACGAATAAAATATATCAGCAGCTCAACTTTTTTCAACATTGATGATAATAATAAAAATGATTTCTTGAGCACCAAATCAGCATATTAGAATGATTTCTGAAGAATGGCTCCTGAAATTACAGCTTTTCCATAACAGGAATAAATTACACTTTAATATACATTTAAATATGAAAGTTATTTAAAATTGTATTTTTCAAAAATATAAAAAAATATGAACAACTCCAAACTTCTGAACAGTAGTGTATAACTACTTTGAAGTATTAATAAAAAAACAGAAGACAGATTTCAATAAAGTTTTTAATACAATAAAATAAGGCTAACAAAGGCATTCATTTGAATTAAAGTAATTCAAACAAAAACCAGCCCCACTTTATACACTAAAGTTGACACAATGTAAACACATTTTTCAGGACATTTGTGCAAAAAATATATGATTTATTTATTAGTTATTAATCCTATTATCACCATAAAGCATTTAAATAGAAAATCAATGTACTATCAAATTAAAAATTGTTTTCCATTTCAAAACAAGTGGAGCGGTAGCACTTCCTACAGTATAGTTGGAGCACTTCACTAATAATCCATGCATAAAGAAAAGAGGGCCTTTCATTTGTGGCGGTCTGATGGTGCACAGGCTGGCAGATTCAGTGTGTGATCCGGATGAACAATGAGGATGAAAAATACAGAAAGAACCGGAAGGAAAGGAAAAACTGTTGGACAAAACCGAAGACAAGCTCTGAACACATCAGAACCTTCCATCAAGGTTGAAACAGCACATTTGTTCAGATGGGTGATAAATGGTTAAAACAGTCACCAGTAAAACAATAGCTGCCTCTGTAGATTATAGACGGATTCAGTACAAAACATCAGTAAATACTGCATGAAGACTTTAAAGCTACAGTTTGTTCAAAATACACGGGATGAATGCTGATCTGATTTCAGTTTTTTAATTAATGCAAACTAACCAACGAAGGATGAATGGAAAGCTTTTAAAACAGGTGTGCAGGTGTCAGCATTACTTCACTATTTGCCACTCTATTGCCATTCATGCCCTTTCTTTGACCTCCTCTGAAGAGCATTCTGGAATAACCAAACCAAACTAAAATGTTACAAATGGCCATTTATATGCTTAGAATTTATGCTCGAGTTGTTTGTAATATAAAAACAGAAGAACAGCAAAGATTTTGTGTGGTATTTGATGTCAAGCGCAATTTTTTTTTTACAAATATTTTTTATTAAGATCAATAAAGGGTTTCATCTAGTAAAGTAAAAGTGGCAGAAAACTTTCAAAGTTGGCAAAGCAACATGACTATTTGACACTGCCAGTGGACAAAGATCAAATAATATGTGACATCACTATTCCCTGGAATACTCTGAGAAAGTTGAAGTAGAACATTCTCTGAGAAGGTAGTGAACTCGAACAGGAAGTAGCACAAAGGAAGACCTTTTCAGTGTTCGTATATGTAATGTAAATGTAAAAAGTTGCTTTCACACACAAACTTCCAGCTGGGATCATCCCTGAATGTTGTGACCGCTTGGTCGAGTGAAGTCAGTCGTTCAGTCAGTCAGTGGTCAGTCTTTGTGCACCTGATGTGTCTTTCCTGCCTGCCATCCTGAAATGTGCACTGCTTAAAAATGCTGCTTACATTTATGTAAAAATATTTTGCTCAAGTATTAGACTGAGGTTTCCATCCTTGACAAAAAAGGTTTAACAATTTGGTTAATATTTACTGTTAAAAGATAAGAAAAGTGTGCTACTATAACGTTCTTGGCAAGAAAATGTGCGCGCTGAGAAAAGGCAGACGGAGCACAGCATGTAAGGATGGTCTACTCAGATCAGTTGAAGTAGAGCTCTTTAGTCAACATGGACACCACACAAGGTATCTGTTTCTTCTCGCTAAAACGGGGGTCCTCTGACCAGGACTCGAAGTTGGTGGCCACCATGTAGTTGACCCGTGTGAGGATCTGCATGATCTCAAGTTGTTTACCAAACTCATCAAGAACATTACAGAGGGCCTGGACAAACCAGGAGCCTCGGCCCGGGTTCCTCCAGGAGTAGTAACCTGTGAGAACAAATGTGTAAGAATGTTACAATACTGTGTGTCACATGTCACACTCAGGGCTGCATATCTACAGTGGGGAAAAAAAGTATTTAGTCAGCCACCAATTGTGCAAGTTCTCCCACTTAAAAAGATGAGAGAGGCCTGTAATTTTCATCATAGGTATACCTCAACTATGAGAGACAAAATTAGAAAAAAAATCCAGAAAATCACACTGTAGGATTTTTAAAGAATTTATTTGCAAATTATGGTGGAAAATAAGTATTTGGTCAATAACAAAATTTCATCTCAATACTTTGTTATATACCCTTTGTTTTCCAATTCACAACCTCTTGATTTGATTGAAATTAATTCAGTTCTGATTCATCTGGGTATTTCATTTATAATGTCCATTTTGCTTGCATATGAAACACATTCTCTTTCAGTTAAACACAGGAAACCTATTACCTTGGTATTGTACATTACAAAAATATTAACTGAAAAAGTAACAATAGGGCCCAAACTATGCCGTTCAATTGCTAATTAACAGATACAATAATCAATACAACCAAAAACTGTTCAGAGGATACCAACTGAAAAAAAACAGTTGTGAAACTGTTATTATAGCATTGTGTATAAATATTATTAAGAAGTGGCACAAGGAAAGATGTGCTATTTGTGCTGCTTAATATTTTTGTGGATACTGTGAGGATTGTTTGATGGAGAGAATTGTTTTAAAAGAACAGCATTTATTTGAAATAGAAATTGTGAGACACAAATTTGAAATTACACGAAAAAAGTATGAATTGTGAGATAAAATGTTGCAGTTACCTTTTTAATGTTTTATTCCATGGCGGAAACCAACTAATTCAGAACTGTAAGACAAACTCTCAGAGAAAAAAAAGAAAGAAAAAAAACTCTTGCGGAAATAAGCTTCCATACTCTACTGTTCTTATTGAATAGATGTATTAATTTCTTTAAAAAACAAAAGCTTACTGACCCTAAACGTGTGAACAGTAATGTATAAGTAATACATATATATTATGTTATAAATATATATATAAAAAATTGATTCACTAAAAAAAAAAGAACTTGAGTCATTTGTTCATTAATTGGACTGTACAAGGAAGGCTGTATGTTTATTGCATGCAGCTCTGGAGGACAAGTCAAGAGAAAGGTATATTTTCCATGGGACTCTTTGAGACAAAATTTCCTGCATTCTACTTTCTGTAAATAAGAGTAAAAAAATACCTGGCACAGTTGAATAAGCAAACAGGAAGTCTGCCTCTACCGGAATCGTGTGTCTTGGATTGGCATCTGTCTCTATCGTGTCATTGGGCGGTCCTGAGTCTGTTTGCACACCATCATCAAACTCTGAACCCCGACAAGCCTGCCAGTAAAAACACACAACCATGTCAATATCCGCCTAAAGTGCACTTCAATAAAAGTAGGTTAACTCCAGGAATGGTGCGACTGAAATAGCATTAAAACAACAGACACCGTTGTGTGTAGGTGCTCCATTTTCTCCTCCTTCACTTCTTCCTCATCCTCCTCTCTCCTCCCCAAATCCTCCTGTGGCCCTGCTCCTCTTACCTGGATAAAAAAGAGCTTGGGCTTGCCCACGAGGCTCTTGCACATGTCTCCTTTGAAGAGCGAGGTCATGCTCTTGATGGGCATGGCTCCGTCCGTGCCGTAAATCATGCCCTCCTCACCGTGGCTCAGCAAGATACAGGCGAAGCAGGAGCTGTCACTGTGGTCCACTTCTGAGACTGAAACACATACAGACAAAATATGTGAGAGAAGAAAATGAAAACTTTTTTCACACTTCCAGTTTTGGTTATCTTAGTGTGGAGAAAGTGGGTTTGCAAACTCTTTACACTTTAATAATAATAATAATAATAATTCCTTACATTTATACAGTGCTTTTCTGGGCACTCAAAGTACTTTACATAGAATGGAGGAATCTCCTCAACCACCACCAGTGTGCAGCATCCACCTGGATGATGCGACGGCAGCCATATTGCGCCTGAACGCCCACCACACACCAGTTTATTGGTGGAGAGGAGACATACAAATAACATACAAGTTATTTGGGCCACTAAACAGTAGAGGGCAGCAGAGAGGCTTACAGTCAAAACTAGTGAAATATAAATTTGACAATTGACAAAATGAATTAAGTCAGCACACGTGAAAAAATTAATTACAAAACTCTGCCACAAGATATTTCTTGTTCTAAGATGAACTACTCAACATTCAAGACCAAAAAAATAAGATAAGGTTTCTAAGATAGGCCCTTTTCACATGACGTCACGCAACTTCCGTTCTGACGCGAAGCAGGGTTCCCTCTCATAGGCTCACTTCGATGCTGCGATGACGTCATCGCTTTAGGAACACCCTCGGTGTGACGAATGTCTGAAGCCCTTATACCATCACGCAAATTCATTGGCCAAATAGCGCATAGCACCGCCCCCAACGTGCACGTAGGTGAGCTATATCAGCTCGCTATTTCATCAGATTTCATTTCCTTCAGGAAGCGAATCATCTGTCGCCCGTAGGAAAGCATTCTTTTTGTCGTGTTCTTAGCTAATTCCTTCAAAAGAGCAGTTTACTCCTCTTCAGCGGACATGATGAGCTACTGGAGATGCATCGAGCCGTGTGACAGGTTTATCGCAGGAGGAGACACTCATGACAGGTGCGTGCAATGTTTTGGCCTACAACACGCTCAAGCAGCACTTAGCGGCCTTTCTGATTGTCGACACTATGATAGCCTGCGTCTAAAAGCATTGCGCTCGACGTTCCCCCGCTATCCCGTTTCTGCGGTTGCCGAGGCGCTGCACGAGACGGTCACTTGGGGTGACGCATGCGAGCTGAGGCTCTTAGAGGGTGAGTCAACGGAGTTTTCTCCTTTTCTCTCGCTCTCTCCAGGCCATGTGCAAGCGATTGAAGAGCGCTACGGGGATCCCGTGGTCTTTGTCAATGATAATTTGCAGCCTACCCCGGAAGCTCATGATGCGATGTCTTTTGGTTGTATGCCGTATGAGGAAGACGTGCTGTCCACAGCGGCCTCCGATTCTGAGGATTTATTGGGTGAAGTGTGCAGTTCTCTCCCTCCGATTAGACAGGAGAAACGCACCTCCCCATCTTACAGCGAACTGTTAGACGTTGTAACGCGCGCTGTGGATAAGCTGGGGTTAGAATGGGATAGCGAGCCGGCAACAAAATCAGGCCCAGTCGAAACTGGACGACCGATTTTTGTCTAGCCGCACTCCGTCTCAGCCCCGTAGGTCTCTTCCTTTCTTCCAAGACCTCCACCCCAAGGTTTCGAGGTCATGGAAACAACCTTTTTCTGCGCGTATTAATAATCCCGCTGCCGCTGATTTCGCCACGGTTTCTAAGATGGCGGATCACGGCTATGCGGCGATGCCGTCCGTAGAAGAGACTCTCGCGGCACATCTCGTGCCGAATTCTGCTCCGTCTTGGAAGTCACGCCCTCTATTGCCATCCAAGCCGTGTAGGATCATGTTCGCTTTAATCAGAAAATCTTAAATGGCCGCTGGGTAGGCCGCGGCTACACTCCATTCTATGGGTGTACTCCAGGCTTATCAAGCAGATGTGCTTAAGGAGCTGGACGAGGGAGAGGGCCTGACCCCAGAGGCTGTTAAAGAGCTCAGGCGAGCTACTGACTTGGAGCTTAGGGCTACCAAGCACACGGTTTTGGCAGTGGGCAGATCCATGGCAGGTTTAGTGTTAGTTGAGCGCCACCTTTGGCTTACTCTCACTGACATTAAGGAAAAGGACAGGACTTTTCTTTTGGATGCCCCCATTTCTAGTGACGGTCTGTTCGGGGATTCGGTCACGACTGTCGTGGAGAAGTTTCGAGCAGCGAAGCAGCAGTCCGCCACGTTTCGTCAGCTCATCTCGCGCAGGGCTAGGGAAGTAGAGCGTCAGCCACCTGCGGCTCGTTCACGCTCGTCCTCTTTGCAGCACCCTCGCAAGGTCCAGCGGCAGGAGCCGTCGCCTAAGTTACCCCCTCGTAAGGACTGGGGTCCTAGGTCTCGCCCACCTGCTCACCCACGGCAACACAAGCGGATAGACCTGAGTTCGATGGCCAAGGCCTCTCGGCCTCAGGCTCCTAATAGTAGTTCCTGATTCCTCTGCTCGTCTTCGGGAGGCCAGGCCCTCCTTTAGAGAGTGTGGACAAACCGCACAAGCGTATTTGCCTCTCTCGTTGTGGCCTCCTGACTCAGATCTTGACGGTCCCGCCGCATACTACTCCTCGGGCAGTTTTAGGTTGAGTCCTTATAACGAGCACCCCCTCAAATACTCTGCGCGTTCCAGCCTTCAGAGTTTGAGAGAAACCCCAAGGGTCATGTGAACACGGCCCGTTTATGACGGCCTTCAAAGCTCCCACTTTTGGGGTGGTGGGCAGGCCCGACAGGACAATCGGACATCTTCCTGTTATAGATTTTCCTGTCACTCAGCTGCTCCGGGACCCTATACAGGAAAATCAGGCGAACGTTCCAACCGTAGAACGACTAAAGCCCCTGGCAGACTATTGGGCCACGTGGAGACGCCTGCCCGACGTCTCACAATGGGTACTATGCACCGTTTGACACGGTTACACAATCCAATTTCGGAAAGGGCCACCTCCTTTCAGCGGGGTTCTTCCTACAACGATACGTCCAGGGGAGGCCTCGATTTTAAGTCAGGAGATCGTGTCACTCCTAGAGAAAGGGGCTATAGAGGAGATACTCCCCACTCAGATGGAGTCAGGCTTCTACGGCCGGTATTTTGTTGTGCCCAAAAAAGATGGTGGTTTACGTCAGATTTTGGACTTGCGTTGTCTAAATCTTGTGCTCAGAGTGAGCAAGTTCAAGATGCTAAAAGTAAAGTCCATTCTGTCTCAGATCCAATCCAAAGATTGGTTTGTAACCATCAATCTAAAGACCATCAATCAGATCGTCAAGAGACACAGGAAGTTCCTCAGGTTTGCTTTCGAGGGTAAAGCTTACCAATATTGTGTTCTTCCGTTTGGACTAGCTTTGGCTCCTCGAACGTTTACAAAATGCAAGCCCCGTTGCGGCTCCAGGGCGTCAGAATTCTGAACTACCTGGATGATTGGCTAATATTAGCTCAATCTCAGGATCAGGCATGGACACATAGATATCTGGTACTCGATCACCTGAGGAGCATAGGGTTACGACGAACCTACAAAAGAGTGTCCTGCTGCCGTGTCAGCAAACGACCTGTTTGGGGGTGGACTTGGACTCTTGCATGATGCGGGCACGACTGTCTCCTGCACGTGTACAGTCAATACAGACCTGTCTAGGTCAGTTCAAGACAGGGCGCCTAGTACACATAGGCTTGTGTCTCAGACTGTTGGGTCTGATGGCGGTCCGTGGATGAGACCCCAGTCCCTTCAAGAAAGAGTCCAGATGGGGACGTTGTGTCGCCGCAAGACGATCACTACGGACGCGTCCCTTACGGGCTGGGGAGCGGTCTCTGTCTAGGTCAGTTCAAGACAGGGCGCCTAGTACACATAGGCTTGTGTCTCAGACTGTTGGGTCTGATGGCGGCCCGTGGATGAGACCCCAGTCCCTTCAAGAAAGAGTCCAGATGGGGACGTTGTGTCGCCGCAAGACGATCACTACGGACGCGTCCCTTACGGGCTGGGGAGCGGTCCATCCAGGTGGTGGATCTCATATGGCAGAGGTTCAGCCGAGCGAAAGTTTTTTTGGTAACGGAGTAATTTAACGCTTTATAATTTTCAAAATAGTAATTAGAGTATAGTTACAAGTCTCAATACATTACTGCTGCGTTACATTGCTGACAGAATGCAGTGTTTTATAATCTAGAGATTGTAAAAAGGATGTTGCACATGCACTGTCGAGTCAAGTGCCAGTGGATTAGAGACCTGCTCCCGCGAGACCCGACGCAACAGAGTGCGGCGTGGGACAAGATGTGCGAGTGCTGGTGCGGGCTGGTAGACACTCGTGTGTGTGTGGGATGCGGGAGAATAAAATGATTCAATAAAATATCTAAACAAATAAATTGTTATTCATCTATTGCACAAAATTGTGGGGAAGTCGTGGCCTAATGGTTAGAGAATCGGACTCGTAACCCAAAGGTTGCGGGTTCGAGTCTCGTACCGGCAGGGATTGTAGGTGGGGGGAGCGTATTTACATGTATTTATTGTGTTATAACAGAGATTTGTGAGATTGCGATGAACTGAGATGTCTTAGAGATTATAAATGCAGCGCTCTTTGCTGGCATTCTGCCATGCCAAACCATGCACGCAGCAGCCGCTTGCTTTAGTTAAAAATAACAGTGTTGTGTAAATGTTGATGCTTTAATAATAAATATATATCGGAAGCGTGTATGCTGGGATTTCATCAATTTCATGGAGAAAAAAGTAACGTAACTAGTAATGTAACTAATTACTAATTACTTTTGAAATGAAGTAATCAGAACAATAACGTGATTACTTTTAAAAGGAGTAATCAGTAATCAGTAATTTGATTACATTTTCAGAGTAACTTGCCCAACACTGGTCAGCACACGTGAAAAAAATAATTACAAAACTCTGCCACAAGATATTTCTTGTTCTAAGATGAACTACTCAACATTCAACATTCAAAAAACATTTGAATTAAAGAATGGTATATTACAACAAGCTAAGTGGGGGGAAAAATCCAAGAAAGCGACAGAAAGTTTGATTATAGATACATTCATATATTTATAAATATATATTTCTATAAATACATTTATATTGAATATTTAATTCAATGAATAAGCATAGCTAAAAAAGCATACCTTAAAAAAATCCACTGGTACCATACCATTACAATTATTATATTAGCCAATATTTGTGTATTTGCATGCTAATAATGTATGCTTGTGAAGTAATTAGCTGAGCAACACACTTAACGGCAGTCTTATACAAGTCGAGTCTAGACAGCAAAATGCTTTTTGGGTTGTTGCCTATCCAATCCAAAACGGTCACTTGTGAGGTTTCATGATGGCTATATTGCGTTAAAAAGCAGATGCCTAGTCAGTGCACAGCTAGGCAGTTCACTCGTTTTTGGAACAGAACAACAATCAAAACAACATATGTTATGATGATCTTCCAGCAATCAGGCAGCTCAACCACATTCCACAAAAGTTCCATGACACAGGTTTTGATTTTTTTTTTTTCTGGCTCTTACTGATATATGACACTCATGTTTTAATTTCATATGTTTCATAACATAATTTCCCAGCACAGTTATGTAAGCCTAATTTGCAAACCGGATGGGGCATTTTGATGATCTGGGGTAGAGATAAATATTTTGGCCACTCACCTTTTTTAAGTAGCCACTGCATGTTCTTGCAGGTCTGGTCATTGTAGATGGTAACTTCAAAGCCCAAGTTTGTAAAGCAGTTGAACAGCTCTCCAGCATCGCGATCTGTGCCACTGCGTACATTCATCCCTTAAATGCAGATCACAAAGTTAGAGTGACTTAGTCTAACAATGCATCAATCTAGTAGCTTTAAATGACTCAACATTCAAGTTTTATTTTTGATATTTTTCATAAAACTTTTAAAAGCAGTCACATTAGTGTCCGTGTTGTTTTTTTGCAGAAACTATTGTAAATGATTGTATTTGTAAGAAAAGACAGATGAGCAGGTTTGGTTGTGTTCTAAATACAGTAGATTGTCTTTTGACTCATTAGTTTGGTATACACTAGTGTGTTTTTATACATTAAAGTACTTTTTTTTACTTTTCCATTATTATATATGTGAGCAAGTCTTATTTATACCACATAGAGATCCAAATTTCAACAAATTATTTGTTATTAAAATAATGTTTTCATTTAAAAAATATATGTATCAATGTAAATGACAGAAATAAATGAAGGATGATGGATTTTTTAAACTAATTCCCCATAATGAATGTGAACTATCTGTTGAGTCCGTAATATAACAAAACATTTTTTAATATTATTATTAATATTATTGCCCCAGTGAACTACAAAATGCAATAAATTCAACTGTTTTTACTCTGTGCGCCAATTAAAGGGCAAATCAAAGTTGATTGTTCAACATAGGATGACATGGAGATGAAGACTCACCTGTTTTTACATCAAAGTTCTTGTTGTTGATGATGATGCACTTGCCAACGCGCCGGTTGCTCATCTTATACTGGAATGTTGGTGAAACAATCCTGTAATGGCTTTCAGAAGACTGCTCTTTTTCCTGCAACTTGCCATTCTTCTTCTTACTGAGAGACAGAGACGGACAGTCAGCCGATCTATTACAGAACCTTCATCCATCACGTACTTCATCAAATATACATTTTTATAAGAACGTAGAGTTTTCTAAAAGACATTAGAACACATCAAAATAATAAATAAGCTCATCTGTAAATAGAAGAACAATCAAACCTCAAGCAAAATACAACCCATGCCAGTCAGAGAATCGAAAATGGCACCTAACTGGGATATCCGGCATCATGAAGACAATGAAATCCCCTTATCAATCATAATATTAGCTGCTCTAAAACATCACGGTGTCCCAAATATTATATTCCACATGCCTGAGGGAAAATTCTCACATTGTGAAATTTCCAAAGGATCCGTCCAGATTAGTAGGCCACAGTGGACACTGGATGCACAATATGTGCCATTATTCCAGAAGTGCCTAGTCATCATGTTACCCAACCACAACAATGGGTTCCCGCCTATACACTCTCTCTCACACACATGAACAGTGGAGCGAATCACAGGTGTCCCATGTGATGTGGGGCTGCAACTCCCCCCTACTACCTCCTTTCCCATCTGAGCGCTCTCCTACCTGGACTCTTCTTTAAATGCTATGCCACTCTGCATTGAAACGTGTTCCTCTTCCCTCTAGATCTGCTGAATCTTTCCCAAATTTTAGGCTCTTTTGGGTGGATTTTTCCTTGTGGTGTGGTGTTGTGTGGTGTGTGCTAGGATCTCAGCATGCTCTATACTCTATAAAGATTGGAGTGGTGGCTCTGCTTGGCTGGGGTGGCACACGCTATCTGAGTCAGCACACACGCCACCCCCCAGAGCTTTCCAATGGCCCATTCAAACCCCTCAACCAGGGTCACGTAGGAAAAGAGCACTGGCAAACACACTATCATACTTACGTACATATTAGGCCTGCTACAGAGCAAGTACACTCAAAAGTGCCAAAAAACAGGTCACCAGAGCTGCATAAAAATGCTGTTGTTTTTTTTTAATTTGTAAAGAAACTAGTCTAGTATAATTCTAAATATGCAGGTGGATTCATATTGGATTCATATTGAAGAGCTATGAAAAGTTATTCTGAGCATCTCAAAACAACTTCAAACACAATCAAATATGCATGATGCAAGAGTTAGGGCTTGTTGGCCTTGTCATTTACAAAGAGGACTGAGGCGCCACCTAGTGTATGAAATGGATTTTAACATCTGAAGCTGTACTTTCAACTACTACTGTAAATTACAAATAATTAACTAAACACCTACTAAATAATCACAAAGGAAACTATTTTTCTCACTTAAATAACAGGTTACAGCACATCAATAGTTCTGGTTGATATCTGCACATTGCAGGAATGAATGGATAGACTGATGGATGGATGGTTGGATGAATGGATGAATTAATTTAGAAATTGTCTCACCTGCCAAAAAGCAAAAATCTCGATCTGCGGTCAGGTTTTGCATCTACTGTGTCTCCTTCTCCATAGTTCTCTTGGTCCTCCCCCATCTCTTCAATCTCAGTAGTGAGGGTTTCTTTATCCATTCTGGAGCAAGAATTAATGCTGTTATTGTTCAGTAACACAAGGCCAACAAAGCAGAGTAACTGAAATAGAAATTCTTGACAGCATGAAACAAAATCGGCTTTCTAATTATCTTAACATGTTACTCCATCCCACCCTTACTTACATTTACTATTGTCAGAGGAAGTACAGGAAGAATTGTATAAACATGTAAAATCATCAAAACCAACAACATATGCCAGACCCTATTCCATCTAAGCTACTAAAAGAGGTGCTTCCAGAAGTCATAGTTATTATTAATTCATCAATGTCATTAGGATATGTCCCAAAATCCTTCAAACTGGCTATTAAGCCTTCCATTAAAAAACACAACTTGATCTTAGAGAATTAGTTAATTACAGACTGATCTCAGTTCTCCCTTTTCTGTCAAAAATACTAGAAAAGGCCTAGTAAAATCCTCTCAACTATGTTCCTTCTTAGAGAGTGTAGCGAATTTAACTCATGGGGAAATATGAATAATTAACCATAACTAATTATGATTAATTATTAATATTTTAGATCCACTGTAGATATTTAGCTGACCACTCAGGGTCAACCGTCTTGTCAATTCTAAGAACGTTAATTTCCTGGTTAAAGGAAATAACTTTCTTACTGTACAATTCTATAAGTTTGTAACATAAATCTGCATGTGGTATTTGTGAGGATTTCCAGTCAGGATTTATACCATATCATAGTACTGAGAGTGCTCTCATCAGAGTTACAAATGACCTGCTCTTATTATCCGATCGTAGTTGTATTTCTCTATTAGTGCTACTGGATCTTAGCGCTGCGTTTGACACTATCGACCATAAAATTCATTTGAGTAGACTACAGAATTATGTTGGCATTATTGGAATTACATTGGCATGGTTCAAATCTTACTTATCTGACCGTCATCCATTCGTAGCAGTGAATGAAGACGTATCATATCAATCACAAGTACAGTATGGAGTACCACAAGGCTCAGTACTCAGTACTCAGTGCTTTTCACGCTTTACATGTTACCCTTGAAAGATATCATCAGGAAACATGGTGTTAGCTTTCACTGTTATGCTGATGATACTCAGCTCTATATTTCTTCGCGGCCCGACTAAACATATCAATTCGCAAAACTAACTGCAGGTGGCAGATCCTTTCACAGATCTAGAACAGATGGTGGATCAGCACCTAGAGACGACCTCTACAGCCCTGAATGTCAGCGAAGTCTATGTCAACTAGATGAGACTCAGAGACAGATCCCCTGCGAAGACCTCATCAACTAGACGGCCATCGGGACAAGACCACGGGAACAAGTCCTCTGCACAATCTGACCTGTGTTGCAGCAAGGAATTAAACCACACCATACTGGTTTTGTCTTGCCAGAGGAGAAATGGCCCCCTGACTGAGCCTGGTTTCTCCCAAGGTTTTTTTTCTCCATTTCTGTCAATGATTTTTGAATGATCAATGAACTGATTTTAACTGAAAAAAATGTACTGTTTGTAGGAAAGTCCATATTAGTATACTATGATTTTACAGTAGTGACAAAAACTGTGTAACTATTTTTGAGGTACATTTCTTTAAAGAGTTGTCCTTTCCACTTTCACAAAGTCCCTTAAACAGTAGTGGACTGTTATTACTCATAGCATAGTAAAGTACCTCCGTAAACTAATTTTTACTTTCACTTTGTGATGTTGTCTCAACTGAATGTTTATTTAATTAGTTTGAAAATGTTCTATCATTCATGGCTCTGGGAGAAATAAAATCTCTGTATATATATATTTATGTATAAAAGCTGTTAGAGCTGATGAAGAAAAGATACAGTAGCCTATATGACATGAAGTGTACAGCAGGAAGAAAGAGAGATTAACCCCGGTTGCCCAAAGAAAACTTGTCAATGAAATATATAATTACATTAGCATCTATTCATGATAGTATATTTTAAGGTATTTACATATAGTATGCAATGTGTTCTACAGCGAAAATGTTTTTCGAGGAAGTGTAAAGGTCCCCCTTAAACTTTATAGGGCAACTTCCCTTACGAAAATTAACCATGGTTTTACTACAAAAAAAAAACATGGTTACTATAGTTAAACCATGTTAACCACAAATTAACAATGGTTTTGCTACACTAACCGTAGTTTAATCATGTTGTTTGTAGTAAAGCTGTGGTATGGTTAACAAATGGCAATCAGTAACGTTACGCCCAAAAAAAGAAGAAAAAAAAGAAACCATGGTTACCACGGTTAATTTTCCTAAGAGTTATTCAGTTTACTACATGTTTTTATTAATCAGTACATTTAAATAACAGGATAAAATCTGTTTACCAACCTAGAGTTTGAAGTAATAAATATTTAACATTATATTGATTTCGTAAACGCTTCGATGCATATGTCTAGCAATGCAACGCAAAGTTTGATACAGTTAGCCAAACAAAGATGATTCAGTTCAGTATAGCTAGGTTTTTTCATAACATTACTATATTTATTCTCGAAACTTACATTTTTGTCGGATCAGCCTCAGTTTTGTTCATTGTTCTTTCAAGTCCAAGTATACTAGACGGAGAAAACGAAACTACTTTCCAACTCCTGATTTTCAATGTCCTCCAGTCTGAGTGTCTCATGCATTTAAAGAAACAGTCACTTTAGATATAGTGAAAAATATTGCGCGAACTTCCTGTTTATTAATCAAACACTAGAATAGAATAGAATAGAATAGAATAGAATAGAATAGAATGAAACGTGATATTAGTCAGAAATAATATTTATACACCTATATTATATAAATGTAAATTATTTTTTATTTTTGATCCCACATTACATATAATAATAATAATAATAATAATAATAATAATAATGTGTGCAGGCTATTTAAAAAAAAACACATTGTAGGTAGGCAATATATTTATTATTATCATGGACTTGAACTCCAAATACAACTGGATCACACAGAGATAAGCGAACTGAACCGTAATTAAGAAAACTCGCTCACAAAACTGTAACAAATGATAGAAACCTAAAAGTGAAAGAATTAAAGAGATCAAAAAGAAAAAACAATGGGAAAGCTTTGTGTCCATTTGTGTATATGTACATTGTATATACAGTGGGTACGGAAAGTATTCAGACCCCCTTCAATTTTTCACTCTTTGTTATATTGCAGCCATTTGCTAAAATCATTTAAGTTAATTTTTTTTCCTCATTAAACAATATGTTTTCCTTTTTATTGTTATATTGTATTAATTCAATTCAATTCAAATGTATTCGTATAGCCCTTTTCACAATACACATTGTTTCAAAGCAGCTTTACAGAAAATGCATGTGTCTACGTTACAATTTACAGTGATCTGTTATCAGAAGGGAATGTGTCCAAGTAATGTTCATTTCACAAATGAAGTTCAAGATAATAGAATCATACAGTTAGCTAACATGAATTAATTTCAGGTAGAAGCTCATTAAAGCGATTATTACAAGTGTGATCATAATGATTACAATACAGAGAAAAATTGGCAGCTGTGCATATCGATTCAAGTTGGCGTCATCTGGGGTCCTCGCAGGGATCAGCATCATCTCTTCACAGGTGTTGGATCATCTGAAGTCTTTCTATGAGGCTGGATCGACGCTGGAGATGGCGTAATTACAATTATATAATGTTTGTTACTGGCTTATAATTAAAAGTATAAAGTGTTATTAAATAATTACATTTTTACCATAAAAGCTGAGAGTAAGTAAGGGATAATGCACGGCTAGCTGTGCATTAGGCTAAATGGTACAGATTAAGAAACAGAATTAATAACGTCAGAGCTTATCTATACAATGCAGGCTCCAGCACCTCCAAATTGGCCATGGCCTTGCCGATTGCCTGCGCAGTGGCCTTAGTAGCACGCAGAGCCAGGTCAGTTGCTGTGCGCATCTCTCTAAAGGCATCAGAACTCTGGCCGGACTCATCCATGGTGTGGAGAAGCTTGGCCTGAAACACTTGAAGCACCGTCATCGTGCGAAGTGCTGAGCCAGCCTGGCCAGCCGCTGAATAAGCCCGGTTAACTAAGGCTGAGGTAGTCCTGCAGGGCTTAGACGGATGCACTGCATGGGCTTTCAACCCCAGGGCCGATGGAGGGCACAGAGCTTGCTATAACCTCTTCCTTCAGTGCTGTCAACAGTGGTGAGAGCGGTGGAAGAAGCGGGATTAACATGCGCCGAGTAGGGGGCATGCCACGTTCTGGTGAGTTCCTTGGGATGGCATCCCTTCAGGTACCATTCAAGGAGGCTGTGGGCGGGCTCTTCCAGAGCCCTAGTTAGAATGCGGATCAGCTCACTGTCCACGCTGTCCTCGCAGAGAGAGCATGCCGTCTAAGTGAGCACAGCCTCTGTGTGGGCACTGCCGAGACAGGCGACACACTCACGATCTTTGTTGCTGAAGGAGAAAAATTCTGCCAAAATGGCGCTCAGAGAGGACTTATATAGGTCGGCTCCTCCCCTTTTGGCGAGGTGAAGCACCATTGGTTCGTGCAGCTACACGAACGTGAACAAATCAGACTTCAGTATCAGAATAAAAACAGGAGGTTCCCCATAAGCATGTCAACACAACGGAAGAGACCATTTGAAAGGGAACTGTGTATTTAAAAAGGAAAGAAAATACTAACATACATCCACAACCCAGTATGTAGCTGTATAATATTAGAAAAAATTACAGATGGGTCCAAGACAGCACTGGAAAATTACTGTTGTTCAGTAGAATAGGCTACTACTACTACTACTACTAAAATTATTAAAACCTTATTTGTAAGGAATAATCATACAATATTTCTTCAATGTTTTAATTGTAATATTAAATCCCCTTTATTTTCTAAAAAAATTTAATGTTTTTAATTTTCATTATACAAATATAAATTAAATGAATGTTTTATGCCTTTAAAAATGTAAATACACAGCACAGAATTTCTGAGGGAATAAAATCGTAAGGCTATTGTAAGAATAAATGAAACTTGTTTTTATGCTTTCAAATAATTAGACATGCTAAAACAGAATTTGATAACAATAAAACATATGGTTGGAAAAAATAAAACATTTCATAGGACCCTAAACATGTAATTTGTGTTAAACTTTTAATAAATTGATGTTAAATTAAGTTTCGTGATAATTAGTTAATTACATTATAATTAATTAGACATGCTTTTTGATTAGTTAAATTTAATTTAACCATTAAAAAGGAGTCCAGAAAAATTTTAAAAAGCCATAAACCTAGGGGAAGTACTGACTTTATGCAATAGATAGCCTTAAATTGAGCAGCTTTACAGTATTAAACACGAACAACCAAAGTCAGTGTTGCTTTTAGTTAGAATTACAACTTGATTTTCTGTTATAAAGCAGCTCTCCAGTGTGGAGCTAGCTAACGATAAAATATTTTTATTAGTGGGGGAAAAAACATTTCATTAAAGTTATAGTTTGGTTTGTAGAGATCAAAGCTCAGGACTGTTTTGATTATCATAACCCTATAAGGTATTTTAAGAGATATTATGTTGTGAGTAAAATAGTTTATCCAAAAATAAAACGTCTTATCACTTAACCTTTATTTTGTTTCTTATCCATATGACTTACAAAAAGAGATTTTAGGCAGAATGATGTGTCATTCAGCTACTTTCTCATATAGCTAATTAAACGGTGAATAAGAGAGTTTCTCTGCCATCTCATTTTGTGTGCCAAATATATTTATTTGTATAAATTAATTGTATAACTGTAATTACATATGACTTTCAAAAGCTGAAGTGATTACCTTAATTTATTTGTTAGAATATGTATAACACAACATTTTAATTGTAAAAGCTGAATAATCAATAAATGTCTACTGATTAACCAGCGAAATAATCGATGATTAGTCTATTAATCGCTCTAATAATCTTTTGATTAATCGATTATCAAAATAATCGTTTGTTGCAGCCCTAGGTCACTTATTTTTAGGTGTTTTCCAAATCTGGCTTGTTTCTCAATGTGCATTAGTAGAGGATATTGGCCTAATTCTGCCCTGCATGCGTTGTTCGGTGTGAAGAATTCTTTACCCCCTTGAGTGAAGAATTCTGTTTGTTCATTTCCAATTTTAATTGCGCATTGATTGTTTGAATACATTGTTTTTTAAATATTGTATGTTTTACCCCAATACCTGATTCTAGAAGTTTTGACAGCAGACCCTCATGCCAAATTGAATCAAAGGCCTTTTGGAAATCTACAAAGCAAGCAAATATATTGGTTTTGTTGTCTGTTGTCTGTGGCCTGTTGTTCTATAATTTGGTAAGAATCCAATCAGACTTTTGCTTAGCACATTGTGCTCTGTAAGGAAGTGTACAAGTCTTGTGTTGATGCCATTGCAGAACAACTTCCCCAGGTTACTGCTTACACTGATGCCTCTGTAATTGTTTAGGTCTGATTTATCTCCACTCTTGAATATGGGCATAATGAGTCCTTTGTTCCATATGTCAGGGAAATGACCAACACTCAGAACCAAGTTGAACAGTTTCGTTATGGCCAATCGGAATTTATGATTTGTATTATTAAGCATGTAATTTAGGATGCCGTCTGGTCCACTTGCCTTTTTTGTTGGCAGTGCCTGTATTTTATATCACCAGTAGTCTATTGAATTTTGGTATTTGCCAATTCTATATTCTATATAGTTTCATTTTTCATATATCTGTACTTCTGTATTCATGTTTATTTTGCCATAAAGTTGTTCAAAGTGATTTTTCAAGGTGTTTACATTTTGTATAGTTATTTCTTCATGGTTCTTTTTATTCAGAAGATTCTATTTGTCCCAGAAACTGTTTGAATGGACAGTGTCACACCTAGTGGACTGTTTGTTGTGTTTTCTCGCTCTTGTGCCCACATTTGGTTATGTTCCTGTTCTCATTTTGCTCATTAGTTTATTGTCTCATTATTGGTTCATTTCCATCACCTGTGTGTGCCCCCCTTGTTTTCTGCCCTACTTAAGCTTACTCATTTGTTCAGGTCAATGTCGCTATTGTTGGTATTACCTCTCATGTGTTGGATGTTTTTCTCTGTGTGGATTACCTTCATCTTTCCTTGGATTTATATTAAAGGATTTGAGATAATTTTCATCATCGTATGCTCTTTATCTATTTATTCTTAAATTGTTTTCAGCTGATTTTGGCTGTACTGTTCTTTCTTCTTTCTGAGTGTATTTTCATTTTTTTAAGCTCTTCATAATAATGAATACGTAAATCTGAAATGTCTGGTTGTCTGTGTTTTTGATTTGCAAGCTGCCTTAAATTTGTCTTTATTCTTTCACAATCCGAATCAAACAATTTTTCGTTCTCTTGTTTTTGCTCAAGTGTTTTCTTAGTGGTTTTAAGATTAGATATTGTTGTCAAATAATGCCATATTCATTATGAGGATAAATGTTTTCTATAAAGTTATCCATAAGTAAACACACTTGGGGGTGGTCAATTGCGGTCAAGTATATATTTCTGCCGCAATGGCTTCAAGTTAAACCAAACTTTTATTTTGATGGGTTGCTGTGAATACCTTTACATTTCTGTGTGTATGTGATATGAGGATAGTTTTACTCAAATGAAACGGTCAAATGCTCATGAAGTGACTCTCAGAGCAGTTCTGGAGAAGTTCATGCATTTATGTCCTCATTAGTGAGGCGGCAGACGCTGAAATCACCGGAAGCTTCACGCGCGCTTCAGTATGAGTAGTAAACAAAACCGCGCATCTGCGCCATTCATTAACACCCAGAATTCATATTTAAATACTCATTTTGCGGCTTAATATGAGTGGGAGTGTGCTCACTTGTGTGTGCGCACATTGGGGTGGAACTTCACTGTGCTCGATACAGAGCGCGACCATCTAACTTAGAGACAGAAATGACATACTGTCGTGTAAATAAGATAAATAACATAAGGCTATTTAGTTTAATAAAAGAACAAGGTATAGACCTGTTCTATAGAAAAGGTAACTTTAAATGACTTTTGTTGTGATCTGGCGCTATTGAGAAAATAAAAGTAAATAAAATTAACTTGACCTTCAAGGGGGGCGGGATGCCCCCCAATATAATGGCAGGGGAAACACTGCTAAAGTACTACATAAACATGACTTGACTGGACTTTATTGGAGTACTGAACTGCAGAGCTCGCGCAACATCCACATCGCTGTAATCAGATGCGTTTTAAACTGCTGCTTTCTCACCGCTGTCAGTTTTTGATGTGTTAATTTTGTTATTTAAAGTGTGCAGTATATATTTACATATTCATCCAAACACCGCTCAGCAGCATTGAGAAAATAAAAGTAAATAAAATTAACTTGACCTTCAAGGGGGGCGGGATGCCCCCCAATATAATGGCAGGGGAAACACTGCTAAAGTACTACATAAACATGACTTGACTGGACTTTATTGGAGTACTGAACTGCAGAGCTCGCGCAACATCCACATCGCTGTAATCAGATGCGTTTTAAACTGCTGCTTTCTCACCGCTGTCAGTTTTTGATGTGTTAATTTTGTTATTTAAAGTGTGCAGTATATATTTACATATTCATCCAAACACCGCTCAGCAGCCTCAGGTTCGGCTGCGTTTGCTGTCTGAAGTGCTGTCTGTGTCTTCTTCTCTTGAATTGCATCAGGAGAGCTGAATTACAGTCTTGCACACACTGGTCAAACCGTGTTATTGCAGGCTCTAACATTAGGTCATATGGGATCAAATATTTGTCGACGTTGTCGATAAATTTGACTTATCGTTTCAGCCCTACAACTCTAACCATTTTAAAGCCTTTAAAAACCATGAAATGAACACTGATTCAGATGGTCCTGAAGCTGCAAAAACAAACTAACATGACTAACAACAGCCAGCATCAGGACACCAAACATTCATTCACAAAATTCGGCCCAACCAAATGATAAAGGCACAAAAAGAAAATTATCTAACTTATTGGACTAAAACAACGGAAAAACAAAGTAAACTTACAAAAGAGATTACACAACAGCAGAGTGTCTGAGTACAGTGAAAGACTGTAAATTAAGAAGACGAATGACGAGATACAGACTGAGCAATCATACTTTTACTATAGAGACTGCCCAAAGAGAGCGGTATCTGCCCATGCTGTAACCATGGAGAAGCGGTGACAGAGCAACACTTCCTCACCAGCTGAATATAAATGCATATATCTGTTCTAGATTCAATGTAAACTCTACGTTTTGACAATACATTGTAACAGTTGTCATGCCAATAAAGCAATCAAAATTTTTTCAAAAAATTCTCATGAAACGTATAAAATGCCGTCAATTGCATTTTAAAACAAACATCATTAATCAGACTAAAATCAATACATTATTGACATTAAATTAAAAGTAAAATAAGACCTTTTCATTCCAATGTGATGAGAAAAATAACCATGCGCCCATTTGAACAGCCTCTCCTTCCTCTGACCTTGAAATTTTTTTTTTTTTTAATTGATAACACCAATAACATGAGATAAAAGAACAAACATGCTTATTTATATTTTTATTTAAATACTTACATTACAAACCCTTAGCATTCCTGTAAAATTTGCCTAAAACGCCTAAAAAAGGCATACCCAAAGTATGCTCTTCTTGAACCATTTGGATATGGTTTTGGTCTCTTTTGAAAGGTGACACTTTGAGGTTTGTTACTAAACAGAACAAACCTCAGAATCACTGCAAGTCTTACTGGTATTGAGTAATAGAACTTTGAACACACTGAAAAAGGGGAAAAAATGACTGCAGATGACTATAGCTGGGAGCTATTAGCTGGAAAACACAATGGGATCACAGCATGAAGTAGGGTTGCCAACTTGACAAAAGGAAAATTGATCAGACTAAAATCAATACATTATTGACATTAAATTAAAAGTAAAATAAGACCTTTTCATTCCAATGTGATGAGAAAAATAACCATGCGCCCATTTGAACAGCCTCTCCTTCCTCTGACCTTGAAATTTTTTTTTTTTTTAATTGATAACACCAAAAACATGAGATAAAAGAAAAAACATGCTTATTTATATTTTTATTTAAATACTTACATTACAAACCCTTAGCATTCCTGTAAAATTGGCCTAAAACGCCTAAAAAAGGCATACCCAAAGTATGCTCTTCTTGAACCATTTGGATATGGTTTTGGTCTCTTTTGAAAGGTGACACTTTGAGGTTTGTTACTAAACAGAACAAACCTCAGAATCACTGCAAGTCTTACTGGTATTGAGTAATAGAACTTTGAACACACTGAAAAAGGGGAAAAAATGACTGCAGATGACTATAGCTGGGAGCTATTAGCTGGAAAACACAATGGGATCACAGCATGAAGTAGGGTTGCCAACTTGACAAAAGGAAAATTGTCCCGTATATGGGACAATCGTGGTTTTTCATAGAAAAATAAGATACATACATATACATTTGTGATTTACTTAACCCATACTTATCATGCGTGTGAGGGGGCTGCCGCTGTGACTGGATGATGACAGGTGTCGGTGATCATTCTCAAGTGTCGTGATCAGCGTAGCGGTCAATAAACAGGACAAGGGAGGTCACGTATGGGACACATCAATTAGGCTCAATATACGGGACAGTTGGCAACCCTAGCATGAATCTTGTTGGTGGTCTGAAAAAGACACTGATTTTACCTGCTGTGTTGATTAAGATGGTTTGCATCATCTGAATCACAAAAATCTCAGCTTTCCAAAGATATGTTTCTTTTTTTTTGTATGTCACAAAGTTAACCCTCAAAAACACGCAGTGGAACACTAACAGGTTAACTTTGTTTTGCATTGCAGTAATGCTTAACCTAGGAAAAACTAAATGAGTAAAAAAAAATGTAAATGTGTAGAAATGTGTAAAATGATGTAGAGTCAAACATTTAATATTACTTCATAAAATTATAGAAGGGTTTCTATTACATTTAAAATATTTTAATGCCTGAATATCAGGGGGCATGTTTGTCATCATATTTTGAGAATATTTTCATAATGTCTAAAGGTTAAGGAGTATATAACAGCATGAACAATAAAATCTTAATTGAGAAAATGACGGAAAGTCACGACAGCACATAGGCTAAAAAGTAAGGCATTTCAACGCATGCAACGATCTAGCCGTGACTTCACTCACCTATTTAAAGCACGTCTGAAGGCTCTGACTAATATACTCAAAGTGAACAACACTGTGATCACAATTCAGTGACATCTCTCTCCCCTTTCAAGTAACTGACAGTTGGTCAACCAGTCAGCTGACCGGCAACAGCTAAAGAGGGGAGGAACTCTGCACCCACTGACATGTATTAGACAGGGTCTCAGTCAGAGAGCAGATCTAAGTTTAACACAGGACAGAGACTGAGACACAACTGGGAACAAGGGACTGTCTGGGACGCCTTACTTTCCTATACTGACTATTTGTACAAGTTGTTTTGATTTCTCTCTGGAGTTGCCATTTTAATTTGATACAAATATGAATGTTCAAAAGTGTGCCAGGTGTGGGTTTGTGGTGTACCCAGCGGAGAAGATCAATCTTATCGGTCAGGTAAGTCTTTATGACGTGTCTCAAAGATCTTACAAATTAAAATGATAGTCCATAGATAGTTTGGACCAATTAAGCTGGACAGATTTAAGGAGAAGGAATTGGATTCAGTTATTTTTAAAATGCACATTTTCATTTTCTCACACTCTGCATGTGTATTTTTTCTCTCTTTCAGAATTGGCACAAAGCATGTTTTCACTGTGAGGTCTGTAAAATGGTACTGACTGCCAATAATTTTGTTAGCCACCAGAAAAGGCCGTACTGCCAAGTGTAAGTTTTTGAGTCATTTTTTGATTGAATATCATTTTTTAATATGAGTTAAGGCTTAATGCTCAAGGCTCAAATCAGCATTATTTTCCATTGCTTCATGACTAAAGGCATAATTTGTACTTACTGCATAGTTTGGTCATTATGTGTGTTAAATATTTAATTATTTCTCTTATATCTCATAGGCATAATCCAAAGAACAACACTTTCACAAGTGTTTATGAGACCCCAGTCAACATCAATGCCAAGAAGCAATCTGAAGCAGCCAGTGAGGTGAGGTTTTGTTTATGTCACAGACACCACAAAATACAACCAAACTTACTGTACATCTGACAAAGTACTATAGTAATGAAACTAAGTACACCCTTTTTAATAGCTGAGGCTATAAAAACATAATTTTATAAAAATTCAAGTCATATGTTGGTTTTCTGTAACATTATTTGATAGAGTATTTACAAGTGTGAAGTTCTGACCAGTTGACTGTACATTACACCACTTTAAGTACATGGCTTCTTACCAATTAAATAAATATATAATATAATAACATCTGAGTTTAATATCCTGTCAGTTTACTCAGTTGAAATTATCTTGTTAGTTTACTCATGGAGACTTAAAAATACTTTTGTTTAGGTATTTTGAGCTCATGAACTGCTTGCAAACACAGGTATGCGGAAAGTAAAATATTTAAAAATAACTGATATAGAAATGTTTCTTTAAAAAGATCTTCCAGATTCAAGAAAACTTTTTAGGCAGCCTGCTGCTGAACTAGTGGTGGCCAGTGTATTTACTGTTTTATTGCTAACTGATTTACAAGCAAAAGTATTTAAAGAATTGAATATGGGTCATTTTGCTTGTAATACTCCCTACATGAGCTGGGTTAAAGGTCTGTTTTTAAGAGAGCTCAAAGGCCCCAGTGACTCTACAGGTTTGGAATGAGAACTGCATTTCTCCAGTTATTTCTGTGGTGTGACATGATACTTCTCTGGCCTTCTTTATGTATTTGCTGTTTAAATTTATACCACATGAACATGGCCCACATCTTTTCTTGCTTCCTTTCGCTCCCTCCCTTTCTCTGAATCTCTCTCAGTGGGCTCCCCACCTGCCCCTGTCTGTCAGTGGGCTCTAGAGCGGCCTTCATGCAGACTGACAGAATGCAGACCACCATATGTACATTTCACGTGTATCATTTCATTTCTTCCCTGAAAAATTACATAAAGACAGTGTGGAAAAATAGCACCCAATAGCATCACTGATGTTGCATGTCTTTGAATATGACATTTTTATAGTATGTGATATTCCATCATTCTTCATACATCAGGAATCACAGAAAGGGGATTTCAGAGTCAATCATTACCACATTGTAATTTATTGTAGTGCTAACAGGAAGCTCACTAACGTTTCTCTTCTTATATCTCTGTGTTTTTTAGAATAAATATAGAGAAGAAGGGGAGCGTTTTATGTCTACCTTCCACTATGACATGAGATCAAAGGAAATCGAGCAAGCTCGTAAGGCCAGCCAGCTTGCCAGTCAGGTGAGGAACCAAAGGAAATAGTACCAAAAATCCATTAAGTTTAGCTGTAGACTATTTTATTAACATGTGACTGTTTTTAATCTTTCTAAAAGCAGCAAGGTTACCAAACTGAATTTGTAGGCCAACAATCATTTTACTCGGGCAGTGTTACCAGCCAGGAAATTGTTCGTGTGACCCAGGCACAGAAGACCATTAGTGACGTGAGTTATCTGATTCAGATTCAATGAGCAAATGAAAAATTAGGCTTTTGCTATTTTGCTACGCCAATCAATGTATGAATTATGATGATGTACTACAAAGAGTGACCTGACGTGGTAATTTGGGCTGCAGGTGGAATATAAACGAGGCCATGAAACGTGTGTGACACAGTTTACCTCTGTAGCCGACACACCTGAGATGTTACATGCCAAGACTGGAGTCTCATTGGCCAGTGATGTAAGAATACATTTTCCAAAGTGACCTTTCAGACTGAAATGGCATGCATGGTTTTAAAAATCCAAGATTCTTTATACTTCTTCTGGTATAGTATTCTCTCATAGAAAACTGTGGTAGTAGCAAACTCTTTCTGTCATATTTCTAACTGTTGACCACAATTATTTTTTTTATTATAGTATATAATAGTATATATTTATATATTTTTTATAGTATAGTATAGTATAGTAAATGTAAAATGTTATTATATTATTTTAAAACATAACATTTTAATAATGAGTTCCATAAGCTTTAGTGTGAAAGTTGAACGTATCAATATTGCTTTGTCCTGTTGTGTGACACTTCCTCAAGTTTTTGTGCTTAGTTTTCTCACAATTTCCATACACTGGCCTCTGAAGCTAAATATAGAAGCGATTGAGTAGGGTGCATTGAGTAGGCTGACCATACGTCCTCTTTTTCCCCGGACATGTTCTGGCTGGGATTTCTAAATTGCCTAAAATATGTGGGTTTTGGCTTTGTTTTCCTATTGTTTTCATCCCTGCTGAAGGTAATGACTGAAAAGAAGTTTGAACAATAATGTGAATGCATTGTACATAATCAACCAATCGTGACCAAAAGCCAAAACCAGGACATTTTAGGCAATTACAAATTCCTAGCCAGGACGTGTCCAGGACAAATGGTCACAGAGGGTCATCTGGTGGCCTTCCTCTTATCCCTGTTTATGTGATTAGTCATTACACAAATTGTGTTTCTTATCTGTGATGTTATATGTTGATTCAAAGGTGAAATACACAGAAGAATTTGAGCAGTCTAAAGGAAAGGGTAGTTTTCCAGCTATGATCACGCCAGGATATGCAATGGCAAAGAAAGCCAATACACTGGCTAGCAATGTAAGTCAAATCTTAGTTGCAAGTTTCTGTCCTACTAGATGCTCTTTAAGTTAATTATTTCTTTCTTTTTTATTAAGGTGGAGTATAAAAAAGGCCACGAAGAACGAATGTCAAAGTACACCACTGTGACGGATGCTCCTGATGTACTTCTAGCTAAAAATCAAGGGAAGGTTGTCAGTGATGTAAGTGAATAGAATTTGGAAAATTCTTTGTGGCCGAATATTGTCCATATGTCTTAGTTTTGCACCTCCTTCCATAAAAACAGTATGTCTACACCGGGGAATATGAACAGCAGAGGGGCAAAGGCAGTTTTCCTGCCCACTTCACTCCTGGATACCAGGTGGCCAAAAAAGCAGGCGAGATGGCCAGCAAAGTAAGTGTCCAAATGTGTACATTACAAGTGGATGTCAGCTGTATGTGCATGCCAGTTGTAAGCTGGTGTTGTTTTTGTGCAGGTGAAATATCAACAGAAATATGAGCAGGAGATTAAGGGCAAGGCCAGCACTGATGCCGGTTCTGCAGAGTTTGCTTTGGCCAAAGAGAATGCAGAACACTTCAGTCAGGTGACACAATGTTCTTTTGCACATACAGGGCCTTTGCTTTACAGCCTTTGTGGTTACATACTCGCATATGGCTACACTGAATGTCTCTAATTACTTTAGCATGCCTATACTGAGGAATATGAACAGCAAAAGGGCAAGGGCAGCTTCCCCGCTATGATTACCCCTGGATACCAGATGGCCAAGAAAGCCCATGACTTAGCCAGTGATGTGAGTATCACTGCATCATCACTGCTGAAGTGGTCTGTCATTTTAGATGCTCCACTTTTCACAGTGGGAATTGCACCAGTTCTGTCCCAGTCAGGGTTCAGGGTTATAGTAATCTAAACGAAAACTTAAACGAAAACCATAAAAACATTTATGTTATTATTGAAATAAAATATAAAAAACTTAACAGCTTGTTAACAAGGCAACATTTCTTATTTTCATTTTGTTTATCTTGATGTACTAAAATAACTAAAACTGAAATAACAATTAATAAAAACTATATAGACATTTATAGATAACAAAAACTGACAAAATATAAAATACAATAAAAAATAAAAATGACAAAAACACTAAAAAACTTTAACTAAAATTAACATGAAAGCTGAAAAATGTATTTCAAAATATTAACAGAACCTATAATAGTATCTCAATGATATTAAAATAACACTGTTAGGCTTATTATTATTATATAGGCTTATTATTCATTATTGTAAATGTTTTAATTGAAGTGTTATAATTCGAGATGCCACAGTTCAAGAATGTGTCAAAGATGGCCAAGTATACCAGTGATGTGAGTGCCCCATCAGTGATATGACTGCTACAGTATATACAAAGAATGACAGCATATCCTATATATAAGGTGTTGCTGTGCTGGGCACTTGTGTGCAGTCATATGCAAGCTCATTCATTCTATGTTTGTAATTGCAGAATAAATACAAGGAGAATTACACTAATCACATGAAGGGGCACTATGAGGACGGTGGCATCGACAAGAAGACCATGCATGCCATGAATGTCAGAAAGCTTGCCAGTAATGTAAGACAAAATCCATTTACATATTACCTCTCATACATAGTTTTTTTGTTCATGTTTAATTGCATTAAAGTTGTAGAATTCATATGATAATAGAATTTTGCATTTGTCCAATTTTGAAATATAGACACATTTTTTTAGATACATTACAATTAAAAGATTTGGGATCAGTAATTTTTTTTTTTGAGCAAGGACACATTAAATAGTTTTAAAATGACAGACACATTTTATTTATTTATTTTTTACATATTTTTACAAAGTTAAAATTAATTGCGTCCTTTCAAACTTTCAAATAGTTCTGAAAAAAGTATAATTTTTCCTAAAAATATCTATCCATCAAAGAGTTCTGAAAAAAACATATCATGGTTTCCATTAAAGTATTAATGGAAAATATAAATATTTAATTTAATATATTAAATTAAATAATTTAAACATTGTTTATAATAAGAAATGAGCACTAGCATATTAGAATGATTTCTGAAGGATCATGTGACACTAAATACTGGAGTAATACTGCTGAAAATTAGCTCTGCCATTACAGGAACAAAATAGATTTTAAAAGTATATTAAAATAGAAAACTAGTTATTTCAAATTGTAATTCACAATATTGCTGTATTTTCATCAAATAAACGCAGCCTTGGTGAGCATAAGAGACTTCTTTCAAAAACGTTTAATAAAATCTTACCAACCCCAGTGTATGTTTTTATAATTTTAGATTTTTCGAATTTTAGGCATAACTCATATTGTTTACGTATTCTCTAATGCCATCTGTTTTCAGATTGCCTACAAATCAGAATATGAGCAGGAGAAGCATATGCAGAGTGAGTACAACTATCCAGCCACCATCACTCCATCCTATCAGTCACAGAAGAAACTGGAGCCGCTCAAAGATGTAAGTCTATCATTCTTGTTATGACTATAAACTTAAACTTCATGTATTGGCTATTCTGCTTAGAACTTGTCTTTCAGGGTGTGCTGCCTAATCTAAATGGCTGTCCTTTTTCCCCACACAGAAAAACTACAGACAGCATATCGAAAAGCTGAAATTCAGCCAGGTTACAGACACCCCTGAAATTGTGCAAGCCAGAATCAATGCTCATCAGCTCAGCAATGTAAGCATAAATTGTCCTTGTCTTTGAGTGTTCAAGTGAATTTAATATAACTTATCTTATTTCATAAACCTTATCACATATAATCTTTCATTCAAGCTGAACTACAAAGCCAACTATGAGAAGACAAAGACGCAGTACACATTATCTCAAGATACACCAGAACTTAAAAAGGCCAAAGCCAATGCTGAACTCGCCAGTGATGTAAGCCTATACTCACACATTCCAGAGCCACATTCTTTGTCATCCATATATATATATATAGTTCACAGGTGTTGATTGTGTTGGTAAGTGTTGTCTGGACGTTCACAGATCAAATACAAAGATAACTGGGAGAAGAACAAATCCAAAGCATGTGATTTCGGCCTGGACACACTGACACTCAAAGCTGCCAAAGCCTCTCGAGACCTGGCTAGTGATGTAAGAATCAAACGTTTAAATGTAAACGTCATTAAAATTGGTTTTCTTGGGTTAATTTGATCTCTTGGGGTGTACAGATCAAGTATAAGGAAGCATTTACAAAGAACAAAGATAAAGCCATTGGAATGGACGTAAGTGACTCAAAAACACTGCACTCCCTTCGGGTGGCCAAGCTTAGCAGTGAGGTAAGCCTGAGTACCCAAAATCAGGTTAAGTTAAACAAAAGTGTATTTTTCCCATTAACATGAGTGTGGAATATCAGATTCTTCAGATGCTATTAAGCCTAAAGAAATAAACAAATCTAATTTCTTGCTATAGGTTGCTTATAAAAAGGATTCTAAGGAGACTCAATCCATGTGCCACCTACCTCTGGACATGGTGAATCTGAGTCATGCTAAGAAGGCTCAGGCCCTGGCCAGTGATTTGGACTACAGGAAGAAGTTACACGATTATACCGTCCTGCCTGATGACATGAAAGTGCAGCAAGCTAAGAAAGCCTACCAACTGCAGAGTGATGTAAGAGGAAGAAAGCATGTCTATTTGCAAGACCACAGTACAATGATACACATAGTGTACCTTTATGCATGCTATATGAATTTTTTATTTGGCTCTTTTAGAACCAGTACCGATCAGACTTGACCTGGATGAAAGGAGTCGGATGGGAGGCTGATGGCTGCCTGGATGTAGAACAAGCCAAGAAAGCAGGAGAACAATTCAGTGAGGTTGGTCATTACAACATTTATATGCCCTACTGATGAGACTTGCATATCTGGTCACCAGCATTTTCATAGGCTTCTTAACTAGCTGTACCACCAAGATTTATTTGGTCTTCAACAGGAAGACAATGCTGGACAGCAAACTTCACATGTTTACTCTAAATGTGCATTTCCCAACTCTATACAGAAAAAGTACCGCCAGAAGCCAGACAGTGTGAAATTCACACAAGTGGCAGACACTCCTTCCATCATACATGCTAAGAAGAGCCAGGAGCTGCAGAGTGGGGTAAGATATGATCCATCTAATTGGATATTCCTCTCTTCTGTGGACATTTAACTGGAGTCCTGTCTGAGACTTATCGGCCTTTTCTCATCCTCAGCTGGCGTACAAAGCGGGCACTGAACAGACACTGCACCAGTACACTATAAGCAAAGATGAGCCTCTCTTCAAGCAAGCCAAAGCTAATGCAGAGCTTCTCAGTGAAGTATGAACTGAATCACTTGAACCTGTTACTTATGTTTCACCAATAACCTACACTTGATCTAACAACCCACCGCCTGCTTTTAATAAACACATTAAATTGGTGATTTTCAGAAAACATATAAGAGTAGTTGGGAGGAGCAGAGGGAGAAGGGTTTTGAACTAGGCTTGGACTCACTTTCAATTCTCGCCGCCAAAGCAACAAGAGATCTTGCCAGTGATGTGAGTGACCAAACACCCTACTGATGCACATGACTTGGCACTCAAATAGACACTGGAAGCTCAGGTATTGTGACTAATAATCGAATGTAACATTGCTGATATTCCATTTATGTAGGTGAAGTACAAGCAAGAATATGAGATGACAAAAGGGAAGATGATTGGTGTGAAGACTGTGTCAGATGATTCTCAGATGGCCCATTCATCCAAGGCTACCAAGCTCCAGAGTGGCCTCAATTACAAGAAAGAGTATGAGGACACCAAGACCAAATACAGTACCTCACTTGATATGCTGACCCTCAGCCATGCCAAGAAAGCCCAGGAACTGGCTACTGAGAAAAACTACAAAACTTTCTTACACAAGTACACACTCTTGCCCACTGATATGAAGGTGGAATGGGCCAAGAAAGCCTACGGCCAACAGAGTGATGTAAGCATTCAATTCAATGACTTGTAAAGCCAAAACAGGCACAAACATGCATATTTTTGGAATCATATTAATCAAAACTTTTTCTTCACAGAAAAAGTATCGCTCTGACCTAAACTGGATGAAAGGGGTGGGATGGGAGACCACCGGATCCCTTGATATCCAGAAGGCCAGAAAAGCTACAGATTTAGCCAGCGAGGTACAGATCGACCTCTCATGAACATGACCAACTATACACACTTGATATCATAGGTTTTCATCTATCAAGTTCTAAAATCAAGTAACTTGAGGAGTCACCAGATTTTTAGGTCATCAGCTGGACCCTCTGAAAATGAAATGCATACATAACAACTAGAAGAGCAGTTATGTAATGCTTGCATAGCAAATAGCTTAAGTGATAGGTTATATTTAGCATGGGTAGGAATAGGAAAAAACTATTTCCTCAATTCATCAGCACCTTGTATAGTTTATTAAGAACCTTGTCTCCGCAAAATGGCTGAGAACCATATTAAAAATTATTTTTTCAACAAATTTTTATTTTTAGGTTTTTATGCCTTCAGAGATCTGACATTTCTGGCTAACAGAGTATTTTGCTAAATAATATGTTTAGTTATTTTATATACTAATTTACTAAAGAATTTTTTCTATACATTTAAACCTGGGGATAAACAGAATGTTTTAAAATTTTGAACAATTTAAAACAGAGATACGTTATAACATCAAGTGCTGCTTTTAGGATAGAAGCCATAACTATTATTAGATGCACTTCACTTTGAGTATAGATGTTAAACTCAGCTAAAATAGAGAAGCACATGCCTGTGGTTAACATTTCAATTACACATCTGTTTAAAGGCATTATGAAATGATTGAACCATATCATCCTTGAAATGATAGACCTTGGGGGCCGTACACTGAAGAGACACTCAAACTCAAAACACACTCTACATCTCCCAGCACTGACAGCTGATATAAATCTTTGCCATGTGTTGTGTATGTTCCAGAAAAAATACAGACAGGATGTGAGTGCTCTGAAGTTTACCAGCATAGAGGATACACCAGAGATGGTCCAGGCCAAAATCAGCAGCAAACTGGTTCTTGATGTATGTCTTCATTTTATACATACACTACCGCTCAAAAGTTTGGGATCAGTAAGACTTGTAATGTTTTTTTAAAGAAGTCTCTTATAAATAAAAACATATCTTAAAAAAACAGTAATCTTGCAAAATGTTATTATAATATGAAATAATGGTTTCTATTTTAATATCCTTTAAAATATAACTTATTTTTGTGATGCAAAGCTGAATTTTCAGCATCATTACTCCAGCCTTCTTCAGTGTCACATGATCCTTCAGAAATCATTCTAATATGCTGATTTATTATCCCTGCTGGAAACTGTTGCGCTGCTTAATATTTTTTTGGAACCTGTGATGCTTTTTTCAGGATTCTTTGATGAATAAAAAGTTAAAAAGAAGAGCATTTATTTAAAATAGAAATATTTTTCTTACCGTTCAAAAGTTTAAAACTTTTATTCAGCAAGGATGTGTTAAATTGATCAGAAGTGATAGCAAAGATTTAAAGTGTTAGAAAAGAATTATATTCTGAATAAATGCTGTTCTTTTTAACTTTTTATTCATCAAAGAATCCTGAAAAAAAGTATTGCAGTTTCCCAAAAAATATTTGGCAGCACAACTGTTGATAATAAATCAGCATATTATACTGATTTCTAAAGGATCATGTGACACTGAAGACTGGAGTAATGATCGGAGCAGTGGGCAGCCATTTATGCTGCGGCGCCCGGGGTGCAGTGCCTTGCTCAAGGGCACCTCAGTCGTGGTACATTACATTCACTCCCCCCACCTACAATTCCTGCTAGACTTGAGACTCGAACTCACAACCTTTGGGTTACAAGTGATAAAACTGCACATTTTAGAGTGGCCTTTTATTGTGGCCAGCCTAAGGCAGACCTGTGCAATAATCATGCTGTCTAATCAGCATCTTGATATGCCACACCTGTGAGGTGGATGGATTATCTCAGCAAAGGAGAAGTGCTCACTAACACAGATTTAGACAGATTTGTGAACAATATTTGAGAGAAATAGGCCTTTTGTGTACATAGAAAAAGTCTTAGATCTTTGAGTTCAGCTCATGAAAAATGGGGGCAAAAACAAAAGTGTTGCGTTTATAATTTTGTTTAGTGTATATTTTCAAGTATATTAAAATAGAAACCATTATTTTATATTGTAATAACATTTGGCAAGATTACTGTTTTTTTCTGTTTTTTTTGATCAAATAAATGCAGCCTCGATGAGCATAAGAGACTTCTTTAAAAAATATTACAAGACTTACTGATCCCAAACTTTTGAGCGGTAGTGTATATGAATTATTATTTCTATGAATCTATGCATTGAACTGGAATTCCTGCATGTATGTATGTAATTGTGTTGTGTTCATATTTTCATGTTAACAGCGATTATACAGAGAGAAAGGAGAGAATGAAATGCACAAGTACACACTGATTGGAGATATTCCAGAGCATGTGCAGGCTAAGATCAATGCCATGAACCTCAGTGAGGTGAAAATCCATTACACACACTGCCATTGCTGTTTCAGAAACTATTAAACACATGCACAAACAATTGAATTTCCACATTAAACTGCTAAAAGTAGATTTTTTTTCTATATAGTCATGCTACAAAGAGTCCTGGAGAAAGATCAGAGATGGTGGCTACAAGTTGCGCTTGGATGCTATTCCATTCCAAGCAGCCAAATCATCTGCAGAAATCCTCAGTGATGTGAGTATTTTGTAAACAATAGATGAACTACAGTTTATTTTATTTTATTTTATATCTGTCTGTCTAACTGTATAAATGTTTGCCTCCAGCAAAAATACAAGGCACAGTTTGAGAAGACAAAAGGGAAGATGATTGGGCTAAAGGGACTACAGGATGATATAAACATTGCTCACTCTGTGCATGCCACAAATATACAGAGTGATGTGAGTATTCCAGCAGATTGAGCAAGGCTACAGCATTTGGAGTTGAATGAAGTACCGCAAATATAAGTTTGAGAGGTCATGTTCAAGTGATTGGTCAACTTTCTATTTCCTTAGCTCAAATACAAAAAGGACTCTTCTAAGATGCATTCTCAGTTCCATCTACCAATGGATATGTTGGAGGTGCTCCACGCTAAGAAGGCTCAGTCTCTGGTCAGCGATCAGGACTACAGACTTACATTGCACAAGTATACAACACTGCCTGATGACCTCAAAGTGCAGGCTGCCAAGAGAGCATATGAACTGCAGAGTGAGGTAATGGCTTATTCAATACAGCACTAGTATTGCTAATAATCACTGTTTCACAGAATGCCTCTTGAAAGTTGAATGCTCTTGAACATATTTTATTTATGCAACAGAATATCTACCGCTCTGATCTGAACTACCTTCGTGGTGCAGCCTGGATTGCCACTGGTGCCCTACAGATTGAGGGATCCAAACGGGCCACAGATCTAATTAGCGAGGTATGAAATATGAATGGCTATTTATATATTAACACATTGATCCAGCATGGTCATCTGCATTACTGTTCAACAGTTTTTTTTTTTAATGTATTAAGCAAGGATGCGTTAAATTGATCAAAAGTGACAGTAAAGACTTTTACACATGATCCTTCAGAAAAAAATAAAATAAAATAAAAATTAAGTAGCAAAAACTTGTTTTCAACATTGATAATAACATTAAAGATTCCAAACTTTTGAATGGTAGTGCACATGCTTTAACATAGTCTATGTTCCTTTTTCTCTTTAATTTTGCAGAAAGTGTATAAAAAATCAGGTGAGCAGGTAAAGTCTGCAGGTTACGACCTCAGGTTAGACGCCATTCCCTTCCAGACAGCCAAGGCCTCCAGAGAAATTGCCAGTGATGTAAGTCAAAATCAAAACGTTTATTTGCTAAACTGTAAACTATTTTCTTAAGTAAAACCCAGTTTTAGAATTGTATTTTAATATAGGTTGTACCATTCCTTCTCAGTTCCACTACAAGGAGGCATTTGTCAAAGGTAAAGGCCAGCAGGTGGGCTTTCTTAGCGTTGAGGATGACCCCAAGATCAGACACTCACTGGCTGTAGGGAAGCTCCAGAGTGACAACGAGTACAAGAAGCAGTTTCAGGAGACACGCTCTCAGTTTAAGATCCATGGCGACCAGCCTGAGTTCCTGCATGCTAAGAAGAGCCAGGCTCAACTCAGCAACCTCAACTATCGCCAGCATTTTCATGACTACACCTGTGATCCTAATCAGCTCAATGTCAAACACGCTAAACAAGCCTACCAGCTGCAGAGTGATGTGAGAACAGAGTTTTGGGATTATTCAATGATTTATGACAAACTGTATTGATGCCATCCCATGCTAATGTGTCTGACGAAATGAGTGGCAAATTATTTTCCATTTGCATGTGAAAATGTGACACTGCAGTGACTTGGTGGCAATATTTGCAAAAAAAACTTTCTCAGTTTACATTACTTTGACACAGGAATTGTTCTTATAGTTGTCCTCATGTAGCAAGGTTTAATGGTCCTGACTGTGGTTGCAGGTGAACTACAAATCAGATTTGAACTGGATTAAAGGTGTGGGCTGGACGCCACCGGGCTCTCTTAAGGCAGAAATGGCCCGCCGTGCAGCAGAACTGGGCCTTGCTGAAGGAGTAACCACTGACGAGGCTATCGCCAAGTATCAACAGCTAATGGTAAGGCACAACTCTACATAACAATATTATACATTATCTGAATATATCTAAATATAATATACCTAGTGAGCTGCCTTGTTTAGCATCCTAACTGCTGTTGGAACCTCATAAGTGAGCGATTTGGAACGCTCTACTTAACCAGCAACTCCACAAGCTACACAAACAGCACCAGTGGTGTGACTCGCAACTGATTTCAATAGACTTTGGTGTTAGCATGTTGCTAAGCTAACAGCACAATTTACTAATAAGCATAAAAATCTATAATTTTTATATATTTTGAAAAAAAAATATTTTTATATTTTCAGTTTTGATTTTAATTTTAGTCAAATGTTTGTGATATGTGTTTGTCATTTTTATTACTTTTTTTAACATTGCTATTTAGGTTTAATTTATTTTTATTTTAGTTTTAGTTAATTTTTTGTTTTTATTTATTTCCAGATAATTTTACTGCTTCACCCTAAACTTGTTTCAGTTAGATGCCAAGGCAACATTTTGTTTATCATCTAATATTTATATTTTATTTAATCTTTATTTCAGTTAAAATCAATGTTTTTCATAGTTTTAGTTAATACTAATATCCCTGTTTAAAACATACTATTAGAAAATAGATGAAGTTTCATACCAACTTTAAAAGTTTATTTTTAAATGTGATTTCTCTTACCTCATTCATCATCTTTGATTTTTTCACTGAGCTCATTATAGTGCATTATGGGATTGCCTTTTCCTTTTGGATATATACCGTGCTGCTTTAGAATTTGGCTAAAACAAAGAAGGCATATTAAGCTGGCTATGGCCTTCAAGTCAGGAGTGCACCTTCAAACGCTCCATCAGTATGCAGCACACTAGGTTTTGGAACAGAGCAATTATCATGCATTTTAAATTTTTATATTTGGCCTTCAAGTCAGGAGTGCGCCTTCAACTGCTCCCTCAGTATGCAGTGCACTGGGTTTTGGAACAGAGCAATTATCATATATTTGACATTTTTAAATTTTTACCACATTACCCAATTGCCTCTATTTCCTCTCCTTCATAATGCATTTCTTCTGTCTCAGATGCTCCAGAGACAGCAGGAGTTCCAGGAGCAACAGCAATCCACTACAGAGCAGACGGAGACCACAAAGGAGTTCCAGCAGCCAGGAGTCAATCCTGATGCGATGGAGATACTCCACGTCAAGAGGAAGAAGACTATTCACACCGCATTCAAGCAGGCCAAGACCACACAATCCATCACGTCACAGTCTGTTGCTTCCCACTCAACCACAAGTCAGTCTATCACCAATCAGTCCACCAAGAAACAATCCATTATGAGCCAGTCTCATGCTGATGGATCCACCGCAAGGCAGATGAGTGAAAACCGGGCCATCACAGATCAAGTTGCTGCAAAGTCAGGAACAATGTAATCTGTCATTTCTGTCTTCCTTACTTTTACTTTTGTAATTTAATTTATGAACATCATGTAGATCCTGGTGTTCTTTGACGGTGTTTTTGATTGATCCATCAATAAAGGATATTTAGATAAAAGATGTAAGTGAAAAGTGAATGTGAAGATGGTTAAAGTAAGTTGCATAGTTGATTTTATTATGGTTTAATGAATGTGGTTATAATTATTAAGGTTTTGAGAAGATATCAAACAAAGCTGTAAGTATGGACAGTGTATGTAAAGAATAGAGATGAGCATGATTTTGTAGAAGTGCTATTTTAGTATATACTATTTTAAAAGTAGATCAATTATTTGCTGGAATATTTTTTTCTTTTTTTATTTGCTGGGAATATGATAAGCAAGAATCAATTGTAAAATGTCTGATTACATTTATAACATTTCATTTGTTCCTCTGGTGCATCTGACAACTGTCTTTGGTGGTTCTGAAATAGTTATATTTGACTTACTGGATATAATGTATGTCTATCAAGCTGTGCATTATGAGAAAGAACCGCAACTCTGCTAGCAGAGTTAAACAGCTGAAATGTAATTAAATGTGTGAATTATGACAAATGAAAATAAAAGTTATTTTGGTTTTCAAATGTCCTTCACAAAACATGTCACTCAACTTGAGCACTAGAGGGCAGTCACAGACAGTTTTATTGTGTAAGATTATAGTTTCTTGTAACAAACTTGACGGACGGACGGACGGACGGACTGACGGACAGACAGACAGACAGACAGATGAATGAATGGATGGACTGCACTGAAGAAGCTGTAAAATAGCAGTATTCCTTCCAGCAGCATGGAGAAACTGCTCAGCGGGGCATCACTATTGCTAGGACATAATGAAAATCAGTTTAAAGAAATAAATCATGTTTATTTTCTTGCTTTTCCAATGCAAGTGTTGACCCATAATGCCTAAAGCAGAGGTGCTGAACAACTGTTGTGAAGAAACTGGTGATGGTCAGCCCATAGGGACACTTGTGAAGGCTGATGCGAGTTCACATCTGAGTTCAGAGCACATGGGCTTTTGGAATTGGTTACAGGAATCTATGTGGAAAAATCCTCTCAACAGAAAAAATAGGTCCGGTTATTTCCACTGAATTTTAGCATATAGAACACGTTTATTTTAACTTCAAGCGCTATTAATATGATTATTTTCATACAGTATATCTCTTAGGATTAGAACAGCTGGGTTTTCTAAATACATATTTCTAACAGTTATTCTTCAGGAGCGGTGATAGGATAAACACCCAGGATGACTAATTATGACAATTTGTTGCAATTAACCTCCTGAGACCCTGTGACCTCATATGAGGACATTATATTTTGGTGTATTTCTCTGACTATACATGCCACATTTTTAAGTCTGGATGTCCTGTACAGAGCACATTCAGGGCTTTTCAGAGATACTAAATGTTTGGATGTTTCACTATGACCACACCCTCTCCTTGGTCTTCAAAAATGTCTGATATTAATTTAGTGACACTCTTATGGAAATATGAGAATATTTTGTAATTATCATTTAAATCTGTCTAATTTTTAAACTGTCTGTCATAAATCAACATCTCAGGAAAATGTTATGGGGTTTCAAATCAAAATATGACTCTGTTACAAAACAGGATGTTGATTTCATACATGTCCTCATATGAGGACACCGGGAGTAAAAGCATGTTTATTAACATTTTGGGAGACATAACAAATGAATAGGGAAAGAAATTATGTTTCAATATTCTTTGAAATATTATATATTATAATGAAAATCTTGTCAAATATTACTTCCATTATTACACTTCTTTTTTCATTACATCTTTCCCCAAAAACACATTAATATGCAAATTAGATTGTTAATAGATACATTGTACATAATGAGAAAACCGGTTTATTTTTACACACATTTTGCAGAAAGAAAAATGGTATATCAAATAATTGTGCTTTAACATAGTTGAGAATCATCTTTATACAAAGTTTGGTGAAAAAAAAAATCCTGAAAACTAAAAATGTATTGGTGATTTTAAAAAATCTATTGTTTTTGCCTATGCATGTTCATTCATGTCTTTTTTTAATTTTTTTAATTGAGTCCAGATGTCCTCTATCGAGGACATAGCATAACTTATGAACGAAATATCATTTTTTTTATTATTGTTATGCTCTAAACAATGTAAAGACATGAAAAAATCTATTTATTTCCTTGAAAATCTTTTCTTGGGTCTTAAGAGATGCGAGTTCACAACTGAGTTCAGAGCACATGGGCTTTTGGAATTGGTTACAGGAATCTATGTGGAAAAACCCTCTCAACAGAAAAATAGGTCCGGTTATTTCCACTGAATTTTAGCATATAGAATAAAAAGAGATTTCTGCATACATGTTTATTTTATGATACATGTTTGATACATGTTTATTTTAACTTCAAGCTCTATTAAAGTGATTATTTTCATACAGTATATCTCTTAGGATTAGAACATCTGCTTTATGCTGGAAATGACATTATATCCTGTATAAGTCTGAAAGTATCCCCATGAGTGCTGCCCTCTTTTAAGTGCCTGATTAGAGTGAGCAAAATAATTCTTCCTTCCTTTGACCGAATTGAAATGTCCGTGGAGTCTAAATTACAGTTCCAGGTTTTTCAAACAGTCTCTGATATATATATATATATTTTTTTTTTTGCCAAGATGTGCATTTTATAATCAGCTCTTGAGAAAGATCCTTGTTAATTACATAATGCAGAGAATAGGGATGCCTGCCAAATCATATACATTATATGATTTTATGTCTGCTTTTGAAGGCCAACTGCAGCATTAAAAACATTCATACATTTTTATAATGGCTTCTTTAAATGCATTATAGAACTATCACTTTGATGCAGAGGAAAGGTCACATCATAGCAAATATAATTTCTGAACTGTTCAATAAATAAATGCTCATAGTGAGAAAGTACAACTTTTTTCTAGACTGCATATCTAGCAATCATAACTCGGAGAGAAGGACATTCTGACCACTGGACTGTCCCCATGGGGTCACTGGGAAGCTTACCAGATTGATTTTGGTCCAATATGTTCCAAGTTCAAAGCAAATCTTCAGGAGAATCATCAATCAATCTTTTTCTTTCATGCTGTCTTTTGACCACCTCTTGGACATTTCATCTCTCTTTAATTTTATCACAAGAATTCATGAGGATTTAATAGTAGAAACACTTTATTTATATTTATATATTTATAATATCACTTTATAATATTTTAAACCTACAAGTGGAATAAAACCAAACATATAGTAAACTAATGCACATAACACATCTTATAAGAATGGACTGGAAATACTGAAAAACATATTTCATTTTTTTCTGTATGGTTTTGCATGTAGCATTTTTGCTTAATATTCCTAAATAAGCATGCTTTAAACCAGTAGTTTCCAAACCCTGGATCATCAGGATGATTCAAGGAAAATTTATAGCCTATATGTAGCCTATGTAACAAAGTTCGAGACTCAAGGAAGGAGGAAGAGGGAAACGGCAAACATAACTTTAATAACAAAATATATATAAACAACAAAATGAAAGTAAGTGGCAGTCACCTCAGGGCAGACTCCAGTGCTTATCTGTCTCTCTGTGTTTGCACTCTGGAGAGCTTTAAAAGTTTCGAATTAAAAGGTGTTTTTTTTTACAGCGTTGAACATTGTAACCTATCACAGGCGTATCTGTTGATTTCTTGATTGCAACGGCCAATCAGAGTTTAAGAGAATACACTCACTGCTCAAAACGCCAGTTATCTTGGGTAGACAATCCATTCAGAATTTGAATAAATGGGGGATTCCCTCTCAAAATCACAATGATTGACATAGTGATAATCATAAACAAAATATGATGTCAAAATAGATGTGCATGAAAGCTAAAGCACCCACACTAATTTCAGAAGCACTCTCAGTGATTGATTCTTGAACAGCATATATATATATACATATATATATATATATATATATATATATATACACACAGTATATAGGCTATATATATAAATATAGGATCGCTCTTAAAAAAAGTTTGAACGCCACTGCTTTAAAATGTATTGCCCTTCATCTATCCAAAGTTATGATGCACATTTTTGTAACTTCAATCTCCATAGCAATCACAGCATAACCTTGTCAAAATGTATAGCAAAGCCTCTGATCCTCCTTACGTCACAGAACCTAATGCCCACATTACATAATAAGCAGATAGTCTTCTCCTCTCTTCACCTCCCAAAGTATTTATATATCAGTCATTAAAACTGAACATTTAGCTAATGACTTCCAGACTGACATTGCACTCTATGAGCTAACACTGAGAGAATGCTAGACAAAGTCTTTAGAATTCCCGTTTTATCTCAGCCATTTTACGTCTTAGGCCCCAGGGAAATATTTTTTGTTGTTGTAATATATATACAGTGGGGCAAAAAAGTATTTAGTCAGCCACCAATTGTGCAAGTTCTCCCACTTAAAAAGATGAGAGAGGCCTGTAATTTTCATCATAGGTATACCTCAACTATGAGAGAAAAAATATATATGTATATATTTTTTCTCTCTCTCACTTTGTTTTCAATTAATTTTTTATGTTCCTTTCCGGTTGGGCACAATTTACACAGTTTCCAAGCTTGTAAAAGTCAGAAATGGGTATGCATGTGTGATTTAATTTTTTGGAATAATGCAAAGTGAAAGGCACCGATTCTTCTGAAACTTCAATTGGGCATTGGCTCACGTTTCCCTCTGAATGATTAAACGTAATGTTTTTGTTACTTCTGAAGAAAAAACTGAGATGTCCAGTAAACAGATTGTTTCTACCGACTGTTCGCATTGAATTATTTTTAAGTCTCTAGTTTCATAGTCAGATTCCCTTGTTCAAACTGTGTGACAGGCAACATTTATAAATCAGAGTTGTGGGTAATAATTCTTTGTCAGGAAAAGAGAGATGATGTCATTGGATCAGTCAGTAAGATAAATGTGGTTTCCTTGCTGAAGTGGAAAAGTGTGGCCTATTGTGGTTCATTTATATTTTGACTTTTCTAAATTCTCCAGATTTGACTAGTTGACTAGCCATTCCTGCATGAAGCACGTTCACTTTAAGAGTGTATGAATCCTGGTGTTTTTCCCAACATAATTTCAAGGTATGTAGGTCACTGAAATCTATTCATATTTCTTCTATTCAGTTTCCTCTAGATCATTTGATAGGATTTTGTGTTTTCTTCTATTTTTAAACAATCTCTCAGTATTTTTGCCAGCATCTGTTTTTCTCACAGCCAATGACTATAAAGCTAGGAAACACCTTAATATCCTACCAAACCAATATCCATTATTCATATACTAAAATTGTTATAAGGATCTATAAAATCATGTATAAAACTTAATTGATCACAAATAGTCAGTAATTATAAACAAATTATAATTTTTTTGTTAAATCTGTTTTTTTTTTTACTGTTTATTCAATGGGATTTAGATTTTTTTTTTTTAGACCCCATTGCATGACCACTGGGAAAGCAGAGGAAATGGATAAACAGTGGGAGAGGCAGTCGTTCCATTTATCAATGGT